AAAACTCTATAACCACCGTTTTTGAAGGACAAAATGCTGGGACTAGGGGTATGTTAGTGGGGCTACATAAGCCACTTTTGCCGACCATTGAGTAGCCACTGCGTAATTGACCCAGATATCAAACTGAAATTTTGATGTTTGGGTCAAGCATACGTTTCTTAGATTTACTCTGTGCTGATTTATTGAATTCGTTCCTATGCATGTTTACTTTGCAAACATCCATGCTAGTAATTCTGTCTGTTTCCTGACAATTATTGATTGTCCATAGCAGTATTCTCAACGAGAAAGCAGGCAACTCAAACGGTTTCATTTTAATTAGATAACATAGGCTGGTGGCAGCCTTGCACCCTGCTGATTCATCTCAAATTACCCGATTTCGGATGAAGTTAGATCAGATTGCCACGAGTCTTTTTCTCAGTGGAGTTTATAACAAACAAATTTTGTCGGGTAAGTTCCAACTTTTATCATAAATCGAGCGTGAATTATCAAATTGCAGGGCCAATAAAAGGTATTATATCGAAGTATATAATTGATTTAAGTCGCAAAATTGTTTTTCGCTTATATGACAAGTAAACGATGTCAAGATAAATTAGGACTATTGATTTTTACTTGCGTCTCAAAAAATCAAAAGACCTACCAATAATCGCATCTGCTTCTGTTTCTTGATAAATATTATGTTTATCCATGTACAAATAATTTCCCTATTTGATGTCTACGGCATTACCATGATTTCGAATTCAAAAGTTCGCCAAGTAGCCTCTGATAACAGGACTAAGTTTCACCTCTGGCTCTTTGTTTTCTCAGCTAACAGAAGAAAAGATGAAGGTGGCCAAACTATCTCAGCCTTCAGTCCTTTCAACATCTGACGGGGGCAACCTGGCTGACCTTGATTTGCAGCGCCGTGTTCAGCTGTTGGAGGCCTCCGTTCGCGAGCAATCTGAGACTGCTATTAGACAGACCAGTCGCTATCACGAAGCGCTTCGTGAGAGTGAGGCCTGGCGTCTGAAATTCACTGAACTCCAGTCCGTCTTCCAGGCGAAACTGAAGAAGCGTGATGAGACACACCAGTGAGACATTCATTAGGCCTCTTTTTGGGGCCACCTTTTTAAAACTGATAGTTAGATGTTACACTTTCAGGAGATACTTTGATGTATATACGTTTTTTTTGATCAGTTC